GGCTGGTAGGGCGGCGCGTTGGGGTCCTCGTCCCGCAGTGGCGTGTACTCCCCGATGGTGTCCTGGTTGAGTGGCGTGGTCTCCGGCATGCTCTGGTTGGGGTACTCTGGTGGGGGCAGCGGGGCTTTCTCCTCCTGGAGGATGAGGGGCATGCTGGAGGACGGCGGAGGCTTGGAGTCGTCCAGCTCGTCGGCGAAGATGATGGGCACGCCTTTCTTTATGAAGGTGGCTTGGTCTTCGATGGTCAGCTTCCCTTTCCTCTTCTTGCGGTAGCAGATCATGGCGATGATGCCGGCCACGAGGAGGATGGCGGCCACCACCACAGCGGGGATGACGGTGTGCAGGTACACGTCGTCCTCGCTGCTCTTCTCAGGGTCTTTGCCTGCCGCCACCGTTGGCGTCGCTTCCGAGATCACCCTTCCATCCTTCGTCACAGGGATGAACTGGATGTGCCTGCAGCTGCCGGAGCCGACCACCGATACATTCAGAGGCTTGAACTCAGGCTGCAAGACGTTGGAGAAAGCCAGGCTCGGCCCACCGGAGTCATCCGCAATTTTTTTGCTCAAAGTCCGGATCTGCTCCCGGGGGCAGGGCTCCAAGGGCAGCGTGTTGTTCGTCCACTCCACTACGATGGAGCCTTTGGCGATGTCCTGCACCGTGATGGTGCTGCTGTTCCTGTCGCCAAATGCCAGAGCCAGCTTCTTCACCAGCATGATCTTCTTATTGATGTCATTCACCACTGCATTGTGGTCCCCTTCCAGCCTGGCCTTGAACTTCACCGGAGACTTGTCCCCGTGAGGGCATTTGTGGACGTGGATTTCGAAAGCATCCACAGCAAAGAGCCCACCTTTGTCGGTCGCGTACATGAAGTACTCGTGCTTCCCAATGTGGTTGTGGTCCGGCATGCCGTACATGAGCTGGCTGGTGCTGTTGAACTGCACCCACGAATTCTCCTCTATCATCTGCTGCTCCTTCAGCTTCAAGGTCAGCTGCAGTTTGTCAGTGGTGGTATCTTCTTTGTCGTAGAAGGTATCTGACGGTATTTTAACCTCAAAGTAAGTGCCCTCCCACGCGTCGACCCTGTCGATGTGGTTCGTCAGCTTGGGTGGCTCATTCGGCTCCCATGGCCGGGGGATCCCGCTAGCTGTGGTGCGTACGCGGGTTGGCGGGGAGGCCGTTGTCAGCTTGGAGATGGGGGATCTGGTCGTGCTGGGAGGCTTTGTCGGACGGGGTGTTTTGGGTCTTCGAGTAGGTCTTCGCGTCGTTGCTGTGGAGGAATCCGTCGTGGATGGTGTGGCTGGCTTCAGAGTGGAGACTCTTGGTTTCTTGGTGGTAGTTGTGGGCGGTGTCATCACTGCGGTGGGCTCTACATACCCAGGCATCGTGGGGCGAATTGGCACGGAGGCCGTGCCGGTGCCTTCTGCTACCTTGGTTGGCTGGATTGGTCCCAGAGTGGGTGTCTGGACAATGGGGCCCCTTGTTCTGATGGTGACCGTAGGCTTCCTCGGCAACGGTATGGGCTCCCGGACAGGGGGTGCCGTCGTCTCCGTGGGAGGCGCGATGGCAGGCGACGTTGGGGTGGGCACGATCCTGGTCGGTGGTTCTTGCGCGGCAGTGGTGGGTGGCCCGATGGCAGTCAAAGGTGTAGGGGTGGCGTTGATCTGCCGCCGCATCCTCTTTGGGAGGTGAGGTTTCTTGTTAGCGATGTGCCAGCCAACAACAGGGTAGCCAAGGCGGGCAGACATGGTTCCTTCCTTAGCTGGAGCCTCCACCTTGCTGATGTTGGGGACACTGTTTTGGCTCAGAGAACATCCCAGTTTCCATGAGAGTAAGGCCCCGTTTTCCACCACCTTCTTTGCATTTCCTGGTCCAGCCATGAAGGCCGACATGTCAAAGAGTCTGTTATTTACAACAGGAACCAACTTCATGTTATGAAGTTCCACCTCCGAGAAGCTTCTCATTCTGTTTAAGAGTTCAATCCTCTGCTTTGGTGTCATCTTTGTTAAGTCGGCATCCAAAATGACAGTCAGGATAGTTACCGGCTCTTCTGAGCCGCACACGAATGGTGCTGCGTCACCCATGTCTTGGACGGCCACTCGCACTGACTGAGGCTCGTTGTGGTCTTCTTGGTGGACCTCAACAGAGAAGACGTTCGCAGTCTGTGGCACGTAGCTCCCGTTCGGAAAGGGCTGCAGTGTGGTCACTGAGATGTAGTGGACGCCCTTGTCCGTGTCAAGGGGCAGCCCTTCCAGGGAGCTGCTCTCTGCGTTCCAGTGTAACCAAGAAGGCAAGGAGTCCTTCCCAGCTTCGGAGATCTACCAAATAAGAGAGAGAAGCAGGTGCTTTTAGAAGTACAGCATCAGGACAGGTTCTAGCAGTAATAACGCTTAATTTAAAGGATTAAAGAAAAAAAAAATGAACTTGGGGAGGCTGCAACTCGGGGAGGAACATCCTGGCCAGAGTGGGACAGCCTGTGTCTCCTCCGCATGGTGGCAAGGATGAGCTCTGCAGCGTACACTGGTCCCAAAGGGCTGAAGGAGCCACGGGAGGCCATCAAGTCCTGCAAAGGTCCCTCGCCTGCAGGCACCAGCTCTCTAGCATTTGCTGTGCAACTACTAAGCACAAGTGGGTCATTTTCTCTGAGGGCAGAAGGAGTTCAAGCCGTGGGGACAGCTACGAAGCTGAGGGTGAAGTTACGTGATACAGCAGAGCTGATCCAACAACTGCCCTCCTCCCGCCCTCTCTTCCTCCTCTCCCATCCCTGCCGTCTCACTCCCTTCCTCACCTGATCACATGCTGCAAGCCCACTGCTTCAGCAGCTCAGCAGAAAATACATTTTTTCTGTTAACTTTCTGCTTCGTCCCACTGCCCCCAGCAGCCAGGCTGAGCTGGAGGGGCCAGAAGCTGTGAAACCACAGCTCAGAGTCCCCTGCCTGGTCCCAACACCAGCCCTCAACAAGCAGCAGCAAACCTCGGCAGCTACGCAGCTGCTTAAAAGACGGCGTCCTCCTGCACCGCCAGAGGAACTGGCAAGCTGGGGGCGAAGGAGGGGAGCAAACCCGACATCTGGCCGGCACGGCACTGCAATGGGCAGCGTGGGCAGGCAGGGACACAGTGCACGGGCTGGGGCACTGCTGGACATCACACAGGACGGCGCACCAGCCTGGCTTTATATTCGGAGTTAGCTTAAAATGGAGGGTTTCACTTTCATATAATAACTTGTTTCTGCAGACTAGAAACAACGGGTGGCTTTGGCCCAGACCGCAGGCACCTCAGGACTCCGATGCACTCTTGACTACCTCTTTTAGGTCAACAGCAACACTTTTTGTATTCACATGACTTGTGGCGCAGATTAGCGAAGCATGGTCCAGGAGCACAAGCCTCTCCTTTAAACTCTGCGGTCCAACAGCCGGGGCAACGTACGCAGCGATGGCATTTCCATACGCTCCAGAGGAGGGAGCCAGCAGTAACCTCGCCAGCTGCCTCCACTTCCCAACTTACTCATTTGTGCTTTTCCAAGCCCACCCTCCTCTTCCAACGTCGGGTCCCCTATCCCAGCCAGCCCAGGTCTGGAACCTTCGGGTCCCCTGGCCATTCTGCAGTTGTGGAGAAGACGCTGGTTCTCTCCAAAACCTCCCCAGCACAGCTGCCAGCCTCCCAAAGCACTCCCCACCCCGTGCAGGGGAAAGCCACGCGTGTCGGAGCCCTGGGCACTCCTGCCTCCCACCCCTGGCCATAGCCGAGGGGAACACGAACCCCCCAGGCCCTCTGCTCCCAGCAGCTGACGTCCGTCCGTCTGCGCTACAGCTGATCACAAAGGTGGTGGAGCCACGCGGTGGAAGGGGTGTCATTGCCAGGTCAGCACGCCATGACATTTCCTGGGGCTGTAGGTACCCCAGGGCTGTAGGTACCCTGGGGCAAGTAACCTGAGCTTCACCACCCCTCCGGGCTCGGAGGCATTCGGAAAATACCATGGCTGGGCTTTCCAGAGCTCACCATGAGGTATCTCCCCTCACACTCAGAGGAAACGGGACATTTTGGGGCCCATGGAGACAGATTTAGCAGCCTGGTGGAGGCTCTGGGCTTGCCGCAGTCCAACGCAGAGCTGCGCTCCGGCTCGCCTCCCGAAAGGGTGCTCTGGTTACTCTGCAATTCTGTAACGCTCATACATATTTCATAATTTATCCAAACGCAAAGCTGGGCGAGGAGCTGCGCAAGGAAACGCGCCTGGCAGGAGTGCCCCCGCGTCCGGCGGCGGCCGCGGCTCCT